GTGTGTGTGTGTGTGTGTGTGTGTGTGTGTGTGTGTGTGTGTGTGTGTGTGTCACATGTTGGCAAAGTGCTGCACAGCCACTCACCAACATATCAACACACAATGTAGTGATCAAGTGCAATAATCAAAGTCAGAACGTCAACGACAACAGAAAACTTCTGTTACGGCATCAATTCTTACAAACGCTGCTAAAAACAATCAAACTTGAAAAATAGGTGAAAGTGGACAAGGTTAACATGTTACTGATAAAGGTGAAGCTGTCTGACTCATATTGCATCGTGTCAGTCCGTCCTGTTTGGCAGATGCTGAAACTTTGGCACCACAAGTACAAACCGCCGAGGATAGCTGAAATCTGGAAGCAGGTTAAAAAAAAGTCAAGCTGCAGCGAATCGTGAAGAATCAAACTTCTCCTCACTCTCCGTCAGCGATCGTGAAGGGGTAGTGTTTGCTATAGGGGCAATAAACTGATGTGAACTGTCCATTAAGCCGCCAAAAATGTTGGAAAAAAGGTCCCTCTGGCGAGCTTTTAAGTTTCTGTCCCACCTGTGAGATGGGGGCTGGCATGGAGGGGGGAGGCTGTCAATGAAGGTTAAAGTCTCATAGCAGGTGAGTTACACACAGCTGAGGTCAACAGCGGCTCGGCAGGTGGCGTCTACATCTCATGGGCGGCAAGATGATGCTCTGGGATACCGTTGGCGTGAGCCGTCACTGAGTTGTTCTCATTGAGGCGCCTCACGCGGTACATTTCATAGTGGATGCTGCTGGTGATGTCCTTAATGTTCTGCATATGGGTCCTGAAAAGCACAGACACATGAGGAACCAGTAGATAAGATGGGAAAACCTTTGCTTTTTACAATATTTAAAATCTCCTTTCACTTAACAAATGTGTTTCCACATTGTTACGTAAGGAAAACATAAATACAACCAAATATATCAAATCTTTATAATGTCTTTTCTGCTAAATTAAAAGGTTTCATATTGGTGCAAACACAGATACGGGTGTGTGGGAAAGGCTCATGGAGTGTTTTCACATTTGCCTGGTGAAAAATGAGTGAATACACACTGACACGGAAACAAAAGGCAGAATTTACAACAAAAAGTTCACTCACCTGATGAGGAGATCCCGTAAATAGGCAAACTCACAGTGGGCTATGTTCTCAACTGAGAGAGAGAGAGAGAGAGAAACAGAGAGAGGTTATGAGTTATTAAATAATTATAATTGAGTTCAATAAACAACAACTGGCTCAACTGGTTAAAAAGGGATCAAAACAACACAGCTGGTTACTGGAGTTTCCTGAACAGTCCACCAGGTGGAGTCAGTGAGTGGTCCAAACTGACAACTCAACATTGAGAAACCCTCACTCACTTCACTGTTGATGACTTCATCTACTCTGAGTCAGAAGAGGTAAAACAAAACAACACAAATATGTGTTTGTGTGTCTGGAAATGAAACCTCTGTTATGAAACACTTGATAGAGGGGTGGCGGCGTCTGTTTGGAGTGGATAACATAATTAATTATTAAATGAACACTCCTGCAGTAAAAATGGATGTTAAAGCACAACGCTGGCCAAATGATGAAATGACTTTCAAAAATAAAGTCGAATAAACAAAAAAGTAACAGCTCACACAACAAAACAAACGTTTTCTCTCTACAACATATTTGACTTCTCATGTGAGCATCTTCCATCTCTTTGTGTGCATGGGGGGGGGGGGGGTCAAACTAACAAATCAGGCCTCTTCAGACAGACTGTGTCTGCCGGAGGCCTGAAGCAGCCTCACCAGTCTGGACACTGAATGAAGCATTGTTCTAATGACTGACGAGCTCAGTGAGGTCTTTATCCATCTTGTGTCTTCTTAACCAAACCACTTCCAGCTAAGTTGTGTGCATAATAAAAGACTCTGCCCTCAAAGAGTCTCAAAATACATTTCAGTGAAAGGATAAAAAGATGTGGAGGGGAGCTGCGTATCCTGTGTATCCCAATCCCAAGTTTTTGTCCTTTATACATCAGCAGGATTAAGCAAAAACACCTTAACAGATTTTCATGACATTTTGTGGACTGATGGGACATAACCCAGAAGAACCAATTCAATTTAGGAGCATTTTTGCATTTTTGATGAAAATAATGTTTAGACTGAAACTTATAAGTGTGTTCAATTTGGTCTAGATGCTTAAAAATACTGGTTTCATAAGGGGACTGTAGGCTGAGGTATGCAGTGCAGTGTTCATACTGCAGTAACCCCATTTCATCATGACATAACCAACATCACGTGACAACAAATGATTGGTTAATGTAAATAAGCTGTAGATTGCATCTCTAATTTTATTGATTATGAAGCCATTTTCAGAGATATCTTGCAAACTGTATTTTTCTGACCACATTTTTGTTGACAATGACCTTTGACCAATCAGCTCCAAAAGTTAATAACCTGAAGAGATACACAGCCAAGTAATATTCACACCAAATTTAGTGCAAAGATAAAAAAACTGGGTAAACAGGCAGTGAAAGACGATGAAGGAAGGGGAGAGAGTAGCGAGCTGTACCTTCAATGGTTCCCCACTTGGTCTTCCTCCCCAGCAGCCTCCTGCCATTGACCTGGTACTCCTGGTCACTGCCCACCACAGCAAATGGGATCATCTCCTGCTCCAAGGTTGAAGGACAACAGACAACTGAGTCAGATATAATTCACTTTAAGTATATTAACCGTGGCAGGTAATGGATTTCGGTTGACGGTGATGTCTAAGCCTCAATAAGGGGGACTGAATAAAATGATATCCTCACCCTGATCTTCTCGTTGATCATTCTGTCCTCTGCATCCTCATCAAATTCCTTCTGAGGGTAAACATCAATCCCGTTGGCTCGTAGCTCTTCCCTGATCTGTTGAGAGCGTGTTCAAACATAAGCAGAGAACAAACCTTTAACCAACAACAGTTCTGAAGGGATTCAAACGAAGGCATTTAATTGAAAGAATAATGAGGCAGACATGGTTAAAGCAGTCTTTAGAGAATTCAAACAAATGTACCTAAAACTGGCTAATGCACAGATTAGGGCGGTATTAACACTAATCTTCTGACTAATCTATTCCAAAAGTTTGGGCTTAGTAGTTAATCACTGTCTCTACACAAACAAAACAGAAAACCTCACAGAATCGGTACCTCTGCATAAACCTGTGCATGCACGCACACACATATAAACCTAGGGGAGTTTAGCCACCTCACAACTAATGAGTCAAGGGGAAATCGTGAATACAATGCCAGTAAAAACAAATGAAAGGCAGCAGCTTTATTTACTGTGCAGAGGAAGTGCAGAAAGCAAAGGATAAGAGTGGGAGAGAGAGATGCTCTTGCTGTAACGTGTCCATGTTTTGCAACTGTCCTATATCCAACTACAAACATGACAAAATGCAAAAATGGACTTTGAGCAAAAAAGGGGATGTTTGATGATAAAGACAGACAGATGTTACCTTCTTCTTGAAGAAGTCCCTCTCCTCCAGGGTGAGAGTATCTGCCTTGGCAATGACTGGGACAATGTTGACCACTTTACTGAGACGTCTCATGAATTCTACATCAAGAGGCCGCAGACTTGAGAGAAAGAGGGAAAGCACACTTTAGATGCAGAGACGAGATCATGAAATTGTGACACAAAACTCCTCCACCAGAGGGCAGATGTTCCTAACATCTCCCACATGGAACTGTCAGATACAGTATTTATAGTTCCAACTTTACACCTTCAATTTACGACCTAATTACACTGTACACTGTGTTTGATCAGCCCCATGACGAGACTGAAAAGACACGCGGATGGTTTGAGGACTTTTTCCAAAGTTTAATGAAAGCATGGGCCTGTAGACAGAGCAGCTGAATAACATACAGTTCGACAAAGATCGGTCATTGTCAACAAGGAGGGCCTTGTGCACTCATGCAGGAGCCATTCAAAAGGACAAAAGTGCAACAATTGATTGCGCACACCCAGACACCCACACAGACTCTGTGTCTCTCTCGTCCTTCCTGCCTCTGTCCCATTAGGCTCTTTAAGGCAAACCCTGAGCAGCTGCTGGCCAGGCCATGTGACATCTGCAGTGTTGGATCAACATGAAACGTGGCTGATGGGGCACAGAGACAGGGGGCCATTTCACACCAGCCCCCTGCCAAAGCAAAGACAGACCATGACACAAAAATTAAATAGAGGCGCAGCACTTGAATTGTGATCAACTGTGAGACTGAAAATCCACAGCTGCTTTCAACATTTTCCCAAGACCTGCCACTGCACTAAAGTTACACAAATGCAAAAGCTATAAAATGCACGGTGAACCTATGAATCTAAGAACCCACCCCCTAATTTCTCCTGCTAGTATTCCCCAGCCAATCCCCCCCCCCAGCTCAGAACAGTGCGGGCCTGAACAAGCAGAGAGAGAGGACAGTTTATTCAGTTCAATCAAACACAGATGTGTGTGTCTGTAAGAGATCCAGGGAAAGAAACTTGGGACTGTGTGCTGCTTCAGGGCCTGGCGAGAGTGGCCTGTGTGTGTGTGTGTGTGTGTGTGTGTGTGTGTGTGTGTGTGTGTGTGTGTGTGTGTGTGCGTGTGTGCGTGCGTGCGTGCGTGCGTGCGTGCGTGCGTGTTGCGGTGCACTGGTGTGGAAATGTTCGGGGACATGTTTGTGTTCAATATAAGGGTTAACAAAGATTTTCCAAGCTGCTTCACGTTGAAAAGCTTCAGAATAAACAGGAAATCTGTATCAATGTAAATGACCTTTTAGCACATGAACAACACACAGTGACAACAGAAGTTACTGGTTCATGGAATGCTGTCATAGATTTTTATTTGGATTAGCACCAAATTGCACACACTCATAAATATCAGTTTCCTAAACATGCCTGACTTCTTTATCAAAAATGTTAAAATCTTTCCGATGTTTTTTTTAATGTTAAAGGTAATAAAAAAGTTCCTGGATTAACTCCCAGATCTGGATGAGCACCAAAATATAAAGCATTCTACCTCAGTTCATGCCCCACCCCTTAGCAAAGTTTAATTGAAATGGGCTCAGTTGTTTTAGCGTAATCCTGCTTGCAAACCAACAGACTGGGGTAAGGACATAACTTCCTTGGTGGAGATAATAAGGTCATTTTAATCCTCGTTACTTTATGACCTGACAGTTATTCAAGTTTTGGAAAATACACTTTCTCACTTTCCTGTTGAGCATCAGCCATCACCAACACGTCTGAATGCACAACATGAATCTACAGCCAGCAGCTAACTAAAGTACCTTAGAGCAAAAACTGGACTGACTGCTTCTCCCATTTCTGTTTCAAATCGTGATGTGAAATCCTCTCATCTACAATAACCTTCAGCAAGAAAGTGAAGTTCATTCCTCAAAATGTTGAACTTTTCTCACACCTCATTTCTCACCTGAGTGCGACTGAGGGCAGCAGCGACATCTTTTAAAGTGTTGTTGTGTTTAGTGGCTGACAAACAAGGTAGTATTAATATTCAAGCTGTCTTATCTCTGTGTGTTTTCCTTTTGGCACCATATTTAACCATGTGTGCACGTGTTCTTACCAGTGTCCGGTCGGGGGGATGAAGTATATGCAGCAGTGAACTCTGGAGTCTGGGATCCTTTTCTTCCTATTGATGTTGATCTCCTCCTGCAGGTACGCCTCATACTGGTCGTTAATGAACTTCATGATAGGCTGCCAGCTGGAGCACAGCAGGTATGTATGGAGGGAGTGATGAGGGAGGTAGAGGAACAGAATGAAAGATAAAAGAGGAAAAAGGAGAAAGCAGCATTGAGGTAGAGAGATGGGAGGAAGGAGGAGCATGCAGAATGAGACACACAGAGGTAGGAGGAAGAATATGATGATATAAAACAACAGAGAAGAGGAAAAGGAAAAGTTGACAGGAAGAGAAAGGGGAAAGGGTGGAACATGTGGTGAGACACATATCAACTCACAGGGTTCATATAGTTAATGCAGTGATGACAGAGTAGTTAGGTACCAGTTCTCATTGTTGATCTGGTCGCCGAACCCTGGAGTGTCAATGACCGTCAACTTCATTCTCACTCCCTTCTCCTCAATGTCTGCACACAAATGAAAACACAAGGTCAGCGAGCAGTAGAGCACTGTACACCTATGATTACATTTACACCCTGTAAACTACAACTACTGAACCTGGTGTCGGAGATAATGTGATCATATAATGGCACTAAATGTCACCTGAAACACACACAGAAACTTGATAGAATTGTTGATAATTAATGTGATAGAGGGAAAATACATGCTTTAAAACTATTACTTTTTTAAGGTTATGAAAATATTAAAATGTAGTTGGAGCAGAACTGGCGTCATTTAAGACATATGGATGTAAATAAGCAAAGTAAGAAAAGTAGATATATAAAAGTACAAGACAAATGTTTACTAGAGTGACTTGACAAACACTATGTGACATGATAAAGGGAAACAGTAAATACAGAAGAGAAGGAAAGAAAAACAAAGTGAGAGATTATTGGTATATTTTGGCAGATAGACGTTCAGACACAGACAAACACAAAAACAGACCAAATAAAAGAACAGAGAGAAGAATCGAGGGGTGAAGGAGGGACGTACCGTGACTGATGGACTTAATTTCGATTGTTTTGGGGATCTTCTCCTGGGCTGTAGCCAGCACAGACTTACGGCTGACTTTCGACTTGAACAGCGTGTTCATTAGAGTAGACTTTCCCAGGCCACTCTGTCCTGTAAGCAAAAAAAAAACAACAGAGACAAAAGACAGTGAGACACACAGAGAAAGATAAAAAAAATCTATAGTGGCTGCTTGTACTGTAGGCACCTCACAGTCCAGAGAAATACAGAAAATAAAACATGACAAGCTTATAAAAAAAAAAACCAAAAGGATAAAAAACATGAAAATATTACAAATCAGATAAGTTTTATTTTCTTTTAATCTTTATTTGGCCATTTTCAGATCAACCAGATGATCAGTGGATAAGAGACAGTGAAACTTCATGGCAGAAGTCCATTGTGCAAATATATGTATGGATGCATCTCCTGCCACTGCACGCCACACGGTCACCATCACAGGTTAATGAGGAGGAGACTGCAGGGGCCCAGTGGGCAGCGACTGCACAGTTCAGCTTCAGGTTGAGTCAACATCGAGAAATGAATTTTGTAGAAGCCCATTCAAACACAGTCAAAGTTACAGGCAGTCAGTGGCGCTACATGCAAACACATTAACACCTAATTCTTTTGAATAAAATATAAAAAAATGACTTCACCTGCTCTGTAAGCTTCAGTGTTAAGGATCATGCAACTGCAATTTATGAATACAAAACCAATATCTAAAACACTCAACTTGCACTGTTGTCCTTTTTTAAGTGGTTGAAAATAATTTCAACTGAATGAAAAAATGGCTCCACAACCCTGAGGCTGTTTCTTAAACAAACTTTTTTATTTGAGGATGAAACACAGACCGACAGGCCCAACGTCACCAAGTGTAGACATAAGAGAGGTGGTGGTTTTATAGTGGCCCGTCAACTATGGAGGCCTGAGTGTGTATGTGTGTAATTAGCTCCGGTTTAAAAGGTGTCTGATCACAGTGATGAGGGCTCAACCACAAAGCGAGTTTAATTACTGTGTTTGGCAGCTAATTAAAATGTGTTTGAGGCATCAGTTTTCTCACAACACCTGATTAGAGAGAAACCAGCATATGTACCTGAATGACAGTTGGCCTTGAGGTCTTTTTTGAGACTAACACAATTCAAATGTAGGCTGCACTTGATGACAGGGAGCTGATAAATAGACAGCACTCACAGCACTTAGGTGTTAAGTGTAATTAAGTGGAGTGCAAACCTCCGCCAGGGCCCAACAGCCCCTTTATATTAAAACAACTTACCCACAACCATAATGTTGAGCTCAAAACCCTGCTTCATGGCCTTCCTCCTCATCTGCTCCAGAATGGCGTCAATACCCACGTAACTGAAGTCCACCACAGGGCCACCGACCTTCTCCCCGTACAGGCCACCCATCGCTGGGGACACCACAGCATCGGGCATAACTGCCTCAGACATGGTCGTGCCACTGTAGCTGGAAATCACCTCTGGCCCTGGTTTAATGGAAGAAGACAAATACAGGGTTAGAGGGAAGTGTCTGAGGAATACTCATTTTCAGACATGAACTCTGGATGTGGACCGGAATTTGCTTCTTGCATCTTAAGTATGCAAGAGACTATGCCGGTCGGACACGTTCACAACAACATAAAAATGTCTGGGCGAGGACTGGCGTCTGAGGAGATGACTTCCGTTGTGGAAATCCCACGTTTTTGTTACTGCACACCACCATCGGCCCTCATCACCTAAAGCTCTCAATTCTCAATGTCTTAGTTGACATCTTTGTCGCAATTGTCTATGTGTCTGGCACCTCTTTTTTATGTTAAGTGTATTCTTATTATTTTAGTTTTGCATCTGTCGCATGTCCCCAATGTGTCCACTTATTCTCTGTGGATTCTGATTAACGGGGGTGAAAATGTGAAAACCAAGGACTTTGAGCGGGGAGGAGCAGAGCTGGGAGCTATATCAAAACACCCACAGTTCCTTAGACGTCACTTTTTTAAGAAGTTATTGCAAAACACAACTACATCAAAATTAATTCACGTGATGAAAATCAGAATACGCATAATTAAAACCTTGGGAAATCCCTGCTTTTCAATCATTTGGAAGTACCTGCTGGAGAACTGGCACCAAAGTGCTGATAGATATGTTTGGTTGTTACAGCCTGCTCTATAATCACCACACAGGCCATGACTTTTAAACCCAGGAGACGGCTGGTCTCATGCCAAGGCAGACTCTTGACTCAACAGAAAACTCAAATACACTCTGTAGTATTAAAATACTTTTCACTTGGCAGGAGGTTATCCCTGCAGTTTGTTTTGCTAATGATATGCTCAATGTCCTTCTGTGGAATTCCCACGGATGTGTGTCCAATCATAAGCTAAAGATTCAACTTTTAACATGGTCTCTGTTGTTTTACTATGTTCAGTTACAGTGTCTTAAGTGAGTGCAGGTGAAGAATTTACACTGTTTATGTCTACGTCTCTATGTCCAGTGGATGAAGTAGAGAATACCCCTCAGAAGGCCCCACTTTCCCTCGCTCGCACAGAGCAGTGTTACTGTCTTGTTAATGTCAAGGGTGGAAAAGAGAGAGAGAGACGGCTGAGGCTGAAACCTGATCCACTCGCACATAAACACACACACACGCTCAACACACATACACACACACACAGAGTACATGCTCATGCATTCACAGTGGCCTCGCACCCACTCAGCCTTTCCTCTTTGTGATCACATAGCCGACCTGTAGGTACAAAAAGCTCGTGCAACATGAACACACACATAACCAGCAGCTTGGACTGACTGCCAAGTGTTTAATAGCTATTGGATTCCAGCTCAGACACAAATCTCCCCCAACAACACTTGGCCAGTCACACAGAGAAGTCCACGCAACTAGATGGTTCACTTGTATCACTCGGGGAATTAAATCATCGGGGGAAAGGCACCACTGCTGGTAGGAGCTCCATGCACGTCAAACTGACAGTGCCGTGATTAATGGGAGAAAATCAGTGAAGAATAACACGGCTGTGGAAACTCAATATTCAGCATGAAGAGTAACTTTTATAATAATGTGCTCCATTGTGTATGTATGTGTGTCAGAGTCCCACCTATGGAAGCAGCTCTCCTGGTCTCCCTCCTTCACCACTTCCCCATCCTGTTCCAACAGTTAGTCAGCAAACTGGTGCAGCTCACTGCCCTCCACCTCTCCTTTGCACCTCCCACATTCCCATACATCTGCTTGTGTCAGCCTCACCCTTTCCTCCCTCCACATACTGATTCTCTCCCATCATCAGTTTCCCCCCTCTTCCCGTAGTCTTCCATTGTCTCTCCCATGCAACTTTCTTTGAAATCACTCCTTTACTGCTCCTCTGACGTTTATCTTGAAGGTTACATTGGTTTCATCCCTTTTTCAGATTGCCTCCTCCTTTGTCTCACCTCACAAAACCCATGTTCCTTTATCCTCTGCTTGCCACCGTTCACGTCAGCTTATTTAACTCTGCTTGACCTTCTCTCCGGTCACATGTGCAATAAACAGATCACTCGACACGCAAGGCTACGTGTGCTTCATCCAAGACAGAATACCATCAAATTGAATATAAAGTGAATGAGGACAACAGACAACTCAGATAAAGTCAGTTTCTGTTCTCAAATACCATCAAATAGCAGTTGCACCTGTACTGTCGGCCTTCATTTCTAATCTGAAGCAACTGAACGGTCGATTGACAACTTTTTATGGCTGAAACAACGACTGGATGGATAGATTATCAGAAAATTAATCTATAATGTATATAATATTTGGATCTATTAATTTTATAAAAAAATTTTGAGTGGTAACATGATGTGCAAGTTTTTTCGTTGTGTCTCATTAAATCTAGCAGCTAATCCGAGTGGCAACCCACCGTGACATCACCCATTGCTCTGCTATTTTGAAGCCTTGAGTTTGATGTTTTGACCACGATACCACACTCCAACCAATGCATACTGTGCTCTATCTTCTATTTCACTCTTAATGGGATCATAATTTACAAAATGAGCATCTTGCTGTATTGCAGAAGAATTGAAACCAGAAATTGAGACCATAAACTCTTTTGGAAACCAGTGGCGTCGCCCTCTGCTGGTCATATTCACATTGGCTTCACGTTGTGCGTCTATGTTTATCTTCATATCTCAGTCTGTGACCTGATCTCAGGTCAGTCTTTAATGTTTTTCTGACAGCATTATGTGTAGAAACAATTTCAATACCTGCATTTGAGCTCAGTTCCTGAAATAGGTGCCTTATTTCCTTCTTTAAAAACAATGCTGCCCCTCATCTATTGTATTAACAAGCTGTCTGTTTTGTGTAGCAAATAGTAAACACACACTAAGCTCCTTGTGTGGGTGGAAAAATACAAAAGCCACCATGAGACAGGGTGAATGGCAGACAGACAAATAGAGGAGGAGCTGTTTGTATCCTGCATTTTAACTTGCAGGGTTTCCTGGAAAGACGCAACAAGACTCTTCATGGGCATTGTTATCCAGCATTCAGGAATATACACAGCCTTTTTGCCCAAGTCAAAGTAGTGTCAAACACTCTAAACTACTTGGCAAACAAACACCAAGTTCTGGACCACTACTGTGGGAAACCCAGCTCTGCCAAACAATAAAAATAAATCACTTTCTCTCGAGGTAGTAAACTGTTTCAGTCCTGTGTCATGAATTTCAGTAAACTACAGAGCCCACGTTGAAGAGGTGTTGATATAAGATTGTCAAGCTGTGAGTGAAGTGTATTGTGTAAACGCTGTTGTTTTGACAGTGAATAAAACCAGAGCGGTGAAAGCCTCAGGAGGAGCCAGTTGTAAACATCTGTAAACACTGACCATTAATCAGACGAGGGGGGTTTTCAGTGCCCTCACTTCTTCCATGACGTCCTACCAAACAGGTGTTTACTTGCCGGTTGGACCACGACCCTTTAATGTTAAGACTTGACCTCCATGTGAAAAATGTATGACCCTGGTGGTTCAGCAGCTGGTGGACATTTCCCCAACAAAGGGGCTTAACAGACCTCACTCAGTCGGAACATCAGGTATCTGAATGTCTCATGGCAAGTGATGTTATTCTGTGTTAACACTTTGGGAAAAGGGTTAAGAGAGTTTCTCTGCATCATCAGATGAAGCGTTAACCCTCCCTCTTATTCGTGCAAGGATTTCCTTTGTGTCAGATCTAGTTATGGGATGGTTTGGATAATGTGAGTGTGTAGATGAGCAAAATTAATTTTAGAAATGGGAAAGCATGGAGTGAGTCATTTGACTTGCTGGGATGCTGTTTTCAATTATAGGCACAAAAGAATGTTTTTTTCTTGCTTCCAGCAGTGTCAGATTACTTTGCTTTTTTGTCAAAAATATCCAGCAGCCTCCCAGACCACAAAACATTTTGGAGGCTAGAAAGATGTGAAACAAAAGAAGCAGGCATCAAGTGAATGTAAAAAGAAATGTGGTGAAGAAGAGGAGGAGGAAAGCAGGGAGATAAAGAGAAGAAGCAGAAAGAAAGAGGACAACTGAGGAGCTGGGATTAAAAAAAAGATAAGGTCAAGAAGAGGAGGACAGAGGAAGGAGTGTTGAATGGAGGAGGAGGGGAGGAAAGAAAAAAACTTTATGGAGAGTACATTTTGTGATTTATTCCACGTTTGGGCCTGGGGCATTCCTCACTAACTACACACAGGCCTCCAAACGGGTGTAAATACAGTTGAAAACCAGCAAAACATGTCCACATTTGTTGCAGTCTTTTAAAAAAAGGAACCAAAACTGCCAAGAACTGTGAAGAGCGCTGTGACTGTAGAGACGTGGTCAGAACCACTGAGCCATGCCTCTGCTGCCCAGGGTGTTGATTTTGACAGCGTGGCGTGCAGGTTAGAGGTCGTGTTCCCAGTTTAGCTTGGAAAGGAGCCGTGCTGAGGTTATGACAAACCATCGGTTTGACCCCGTGCAAAGAACTGACTTGAATCACAAGAGAGGAATCCAGAGAAAGGAAGGATTGGAAACTTGGCTCAATGGAAGTGTGTTTGTTATCTAGGAGAGTGACTCATTCACCAAAATTCAGATGCTAAAAATGATTTCTTTTTATTTAGACACTTTTAAGACTTTGTAAAACTCATGCCATTTCAGTGCATGTCTGGAGCTCCATGTCAAACAGACATTATAGGACTAATCCACTAAATGGGCTGTTTGCCTCTTTGCTCTGGTCTGAAATGTTTTTATGGGCCCTCTTTAAAAGCATTGGCTCTTTTTGTTCTTTATTTACATTCCCGCACAGGACAAAGCTGGTTCACAGTTGAGTTCTTCAGAAGACTTTGAGCTGCTCGAGAGGCTTATTCTTTGTGTTAAAATTAAAAAGAATAAATGTTTCTGGGAGGTCGTGGCAATGATTCTCACAAGGTTAATTTCTCATAAGATAAAGAGAGGCTGCAAAGACAACTGAGAAAACTTGTGCAGAAGGAATGAAGTCCATGTAGCCATTAAAT